GCCATTGGTGATCAAGGAGGGAGGTTTGTTAGAAGGAAAGGTTGTTATTGTTCCAGTAATTGGTAAGGGAAAAGATGTTGTCAAGGAGAACAGCCAGAGCCTTTCTAGCTATTCGCCGGTTTCGAATGGTGGTCTTAAAAAACCGGGGGCTTGGACTCATGAAGCTTCTTCTTCAGGAGGTTTAAAGATTTCCTCGAATTTTGATTATATCTCGAAATCATTGCCTTCGTCTCCTGCTGAGAGGGGAGTTATCAGAGCAGAGTTGGAGTGTCTTAAATCCCGGGATGTCTGCAAAGTGAATGACATTTTGTCTTTGATAAAGGACAATCAAGAACCTGAGGATGGTTTAAAAGGAATTGCTAATGTGAATAAAGTAGATGTGGAGACAGTAAATAAAGGACATGCTTATACGGCATGGATAAGTAAACCATATGTTAAAGTTGATAATCTTTATTTGGGATCTTTCCTATCGGAAGATGGGAAGGTGGTGAAGATGCAGGCAGATAAGGAAGCTGAAAATGCTAAGAGGTTGGAAAAAGCTGTAGTGGTTAAAGTTTTTGGTGAAAACATTCCATTTTTTGTTATTAGCTCTGCTTTAAGAAGACAGTGGGATAAATTTGGGAAATTCCACATAACTGGATTGGGACTTGGTTGGGTACTCTTCTCTTTTGAAGATTCCTCTGCAGTTGATCAGGTTCTCACTGGAGGACCTTGGTGGGTTGGTGGTCAGGTGGCTGGTATTGATAAATGGTCTGTTAATTTCAACCCCACATCGCTCAAAGGTATTACTTCTCCGGTTTAGATAAGGCTACCTAATCTCCCTCTACAATGTTGGGATGAGATCAACATTTGCAGGATAGCTTCTCAAGTGGGCAAACCATATCTTCTAGATGGAAACTTATTTCAGTGGAGCGGAAGGGAATACGCTCGTATTTGTGTCTGAGTTCCATTAGGTTTGAAACTGCCTCAAGGAGTATGGGTGGAAGGTTCATCTGGTAAATTCTTTCAGAAGATTGAATATGAGGGAATTTCTAAAATCTGCTGTGAATGTGGAAAGGCAGGTCATCAGGGAGCTTCTTGTGATAGTTTAAAAAATAAGGTGGTTGATGGTCCGGTAGTTCAGAATATTAACTTGGTGCGGAAGTTGTGATGAAGCAAACAATGGGTGAGAAAAGCTTAAAGGAGGAGAAAACTTCTTCTGAGTTAACTTGGAAAGTTGTCAATCATGGGAAAAAAAAATGCTAGAAGAAAGGTGGACAATAGAAGATTTCCTTATAGGAAATTCTCGGTTCTTATGAAGAAAAGTTTTGTCCCCAAGATGGCGGGTCAGGTTCAGGGAAAAGTGATTGAAGAAAAGGGTAACAATTCGCTGGAAGAGCTGGAAAATTTGGTGAACTCTGTACAGGAGCCTTTTAAGAGTACATTGCTGGTTGAAGAGGTGGATGCATCTAAAAAAAGGGAGTCACCTATTATGGCATTTCCTGAAAAAAAAATGGAGGTGTAGAAATCCAGAACAAATTTAATTCTCTTTGCAACCTTGAGGTAGAGGTGCTTCAAGGAGGTGCTGTTTTTAGAGGTGAGGAAGTTTCAGAGGAAGGTGAAATTATCTGTTCGCCAGATGATGGTATTTCTAGCGGTAAGGGAATGGAAGGAAGAAAAATGTTGTGTTTGTCAGCAAGGAAGAAAGGTTCGTTGGAGAATTCTATTTTGGAAAAAGACATCTCTTTAGAGAAAAAATCTAAATTGAGCAAGGAGCTGAAGTCCTTGGGAGAAGGTAATACCATTTCTCATAATAGAAAAGGGGAGAGTGGGAAGATAAAAAAGGTTGGGGACCCTTTCCCCATCTTTAAATAATGAGTGGTCTTCTTTTTTGGAATTGTAGGGGAGCCAAAAAAGTAGAGGCGGCTCTCTATCTTAAGGAGGTGATCAAGGATCACAGTGTTATCTTTGTAGGTTTGTTGGAAACAAGGATTAATAATGTGGAAAATACTCAAATTCTGAAGCTTCTGGGTGACAATTGGAAGCTTTTTATGGTCCCGGCAGTTGGACTTTCGGGTGGTTTGTTGATTTTATGGCGATGTGATTTAGCATATTTTACAGTGGTGAAGCACTCTTCTCAAATGGTGGTTGGTAATTTGAAAATGATCAACAAAGGTGACTTGATGATCGCGTCAGTTTATGGTAGTACAGATGTGCAGGAAAGAAAATTCCTTTGGGAAGATCTTGGAAGGCAATGTGATGTTGATTCTCCTTTGATTATCGGAGGGGATTTCAATTGTATTTTATCTCAAGAGGAGAAAAGAGGTGGGAAGAAATTCAAAATGAACCAAGGCTCCAAATATTTTCACAGCTTCATGATTAACAATGATCTTCACCTGGTAAATTCAATGGGGCCTAAATTCACGTGGTGCAACAATAAATTCGGAAGCAATCGTATTTGAGAGAAATTGGATAGGTGCCTTATAAATTCTTCTGCTATGAATTTTCTTCACTTAGCTATCGTTAAACACCTGCCTCGTTTTGCTTCGGATCACTGTCCATTAGTTATGGAATTATTCAAACCAGTGAATTCAGTGAGAAAAGATATTAGATATGAAGAGATTTGGGCTACTTATTATGGAGCAACAGCATTGGTGAAGAAGATTTGGGAAAACAAATGTTCAGGTAGTCCGGCTGACATTCTCAGTAAGAAATGTAAGAAGACTCTAAGAGCTCTATTCTTTTGGAGTAGAGAGAAACATAAAAACTTATCTCAGCTCAAGGAGGTTCTCAAAGCAAAAATTCTGGAAATCCAATTAGAAGAGGCGGAAGTTGGTATCTCTATGGACAAGCTTCAGATTTTGAGAAGTAAAATCAATGAGTTAAATGTTACTTTAGCTAGACTCAATACTTGGTGGAAGCAAAGAGCAAAGATCAAGTGGATGGAGGAGGGAGACTGTAACTCCAATTTTTTTCACAATTTTGCGAATGCTAGAAGAAACTTGAACTGGATTCATCACATCAAGACTTTAGAAGGGGAAATTTTAGAGGATGAAGCTGTTATTCAGGAGACCTCAGTTTATTTCAAAAATAAATGGCAAAATAGAGAGTGTTCTCTGGCAGGTTGGCCATCTTTGACAGAGGCTGTTGATGAGGCGGATCAAGCGATGCTTGGAGCAGATTTTTCCAGAGAAGAACTTCAACTTGTGGTGGAAAAATCGGAAAGAAACATATCTCCAGGATTAGATGGGATCACTTTTTCATTCTTAAAAGATTTTTGGAGTATTATCAAAGAAGATGTGTGGAATGCAGTTAGCCAGTTCTTCAAGGAAGGTAAGATGGATAAATCCTAGAAAGAAACTTTAATTGTTTTAATCCCAAAGATTAAAAATCCGCAAGTTCCTAGCAACTTCTGTCCCATCAGTCTTTGTATGACCATTTACAAACTAGTTGCTAAAATGATGTTCAGTAAGCTGGAAAAAGTCTTGCATAAGATTGTATCTGAAGATCAAGTGGCTTTTGTTAGAGGTCGTTCTTTAAATGATCATGTTTTATTGGCCCAGGAGGTGTTTAACAAGTTCAGATGGTCTAAATGTAAGGAGGGCTTATGTGCTATTAAAATTGACATGGAACACGCATATGATAGTATGGGGTGGTTAACTTTGAAGCAAGTTCTGTATCAGTTCAGATTTCCTAATAAGTTCATTGAACTTATTATGCAGTGTGTGCTTGATCCTAGATTTTGTATTTTGATTAATGGGAAGAAAACAAGTTGGATTGAATGGAGATGCGGTTTTAGATAGGGATGTCCGTTATCCCCGTTGTTATTCGTTTTATGTTCTCAATAACTTTCCTATGCTATTAAGGAGAGGTGTAAAGGAGTTTCGGTTTCTAAAAATGCTCCCAAGGTGACACATCTGTTATATGCAGATGACGTTTTGCTGTTTTCAGAAGCTAAGCTTAAGGCAATCAAGAAGTTAAAAAAGATCATCTCTAACTACTATATGTGGACGGGACAAAAGGTGAACGAGTCTAAATCGTTGATCATCTTTGGGAAACATACTAGTAGAAAAGCTAAGAAGGCGGTTATCAAAGTACTGAGTTATAAGCAAGTTAAAGAGTTTGATTACCTCGGGGTAAGGATGGCTTTAAGAAGGCTGAGCAAAGTTGATTTCCAAGGCTTATTAGAGAATGCAGCTGGCAGACTGAACACTTGGGGTAAGAGATGTATCTCCTTGGAAGGTAGATTGGTTCTTGTGAAATCTACATTTTTGACACTACCTTTATTCATTTCTTTTATTTCAATTGTTCCATTGAGCATTCTAAAAGAATTTGATAAGATGTGTAGGGAGTTTATATGGAGTAAGAATAAGGGGGAACCTGGTATCCTTTATGCTTCTTGGGATTTACTTTGTAAATCCAAAAGAGGGGGTGGTCGTGGTTTATTTTCAGCTGTGGAAAAGGTGGGTCCCTTATGAGCTAAATTTTCTTGGAGCTTTATTTCAAAACCAGATTCTTTATTGAATCAAATTTTAAGAGCTAAGTATGGGGAAGATGTTTGGTCTTCTGTTAAGAAAACCGGTTGTTCAACTGCTTAGAAGGTTATCACCAGCGGAGCTAAATTCCTAAGAAAGGTTATAAGATGGAAAATTGCTAATGGAGAATCTATCAACTGGTTATATGATACTTGGCTTTTAGATAAATGTATTGCAAAATGGCCAACTTTTGTGAATATACAAGATACTATTGACTTCAATCTAAGCTGTTTCATTGTGGAGGGACAATGGAAGTTGGATAAGTTGAATGAGGTCTTTGGGGAACAAATGATTGAGTTTATTATGAGAACCACTATCGAAACAGGCAATAGCTCAGACAGGTTGGAACTAATTAAGCTATTTTCTGGAAAATCGGTTGCAGGCCTTATAAGCGAAGCCGAAGAGGAGTTGGATAATTAGAATGCTCATTGGAATTGGATGAAAAAATTGAAGCTGAATCCCAAAACGGAACTCTTCTGGTGGAGAATGTATAACAATGCCATCCCTTCTAATGCTATGTTGGTTAGTAGGAGAATTAAAACAGTTTCTGGATGTCCTAGAAGAAGCTGTAATGATATAGAAGATGTGAATCACATGGTGGGAAGTTGTGTTAAAACTATGCAGGTCATTGCTTTATTGAATAAATGGGGATTCCAGGTCCCTGTTTTCGGTAATTTTGAAGAATGTTTGACTGTTTTACAAAGAATGATTGGAAAACAAAATTTATCAGCCAACTTGTTCTGTAATGCTATTTGGCTGGTGTGGAAGAGTAGATGTAAACTTGTTAATACAAAGAGGGAGGATTCAGTTAACTTCATTGCTGCTGAAGCTGTTTCTTATGTGACTAAAAATAATTTTGTTTATATCCATCAAGACATCTGGAATGCTAACCGGCTTATGCTGTTTAATCATTGGCATCCCCCGCCCCTTGGATGGATTAAAATCAACTTCAATGGTTCTTTGAGGAGGAACAACTCGGCTGGAGTAGGTGGGGTTGTGAGAGACCACAAGGGAAGATTTTTGCTGGCGTTTGGCAACTCACTTCAACATTGGGATGCTGCTCAAACTGAATTGCATGCTATGAGTATATAAAGTTTGTGAAAAGGGATTGGATGTCGGAAGCTCTTAGAGTCCTCATTGAAGGAGACAACCTTAACATCATTTATTTGCTCCAAAAAGAATTCAAAAGTTGGAAGGTTAGCTATGCTATTGATGATAGTTTAGATTTCTTACTTGATTTCAAACAAGTTATTTTTTCTTTTACCAATCAGTTGGGTAACAAATTAGCGAACTTATGTGCTAATTTGGCTGTAGATGGTTCTTTTGTTTGGAAAGATCTTCAAGGTACTTCCATTCCTTCTTCTTTCTTAAATTGTTTGAAAGAGGAATGTGAAACCTTAGCAGTTCCTGTGAAGTGGGCTTGATTTGTAATTTGACTCTCTGCATTTTTTTTTTTATGGCAATTTTGTGCTGGTTATGTCAAAAAAAAAAAAAAGGAGAAATCTTATTGAGACTAACATCCTCCCAAATAAAATGAGATAAGATACCATTGTTAGCACATAAATCCGCTAACTTATTATAATTTCTATCCACACAATTGAAGATGACATTATTGAATTCATCAAAAATATGAATGTTTGCATACCTTGTTTTGCCATTCTTCTTGACTTCCTTTAAGAGCTTGATGATATTGATATTATCTCCCTCTATGATGATTCCTTTGTATTTAAACATCCAATCCTTTAGCATTTCTTTTATAGATTGAATTGCCAATAGCTCCAAAGCCGAAATGTCCCAATGAGTATATGGTTTTCCAAATGCTAGAAGGAATCTACCTTTATGGTCTCGAAACACTCCTCCAATACCAGCTTTGTATGATGGTAGCAAAGAAGCATCAACATTGACTTTGAGCCAATCGGGTGGAGGGGGATGCCAATGATGATTAGACAACCTAATAGGTTGGTTGACATCCCATATACCCGAGAAATTATGATTCTCAAGGTTAACGAATGAAGCAAAACCGATTGCTTTTGAAGCAATACTCAGATTGCTATCCTCCTTCCCATTATGAATGTAGCTATTCCTTGATTTTCAAGTGAAATAAACCACTGAGCAATAGAGATTAATCATGAAAGGAGATTGAGAAGATAAATGAACACAGCAGCCTTGTAAAGAATGGAATTCGTCAAAACCAAATCCCCATTCCTTAATATATTTCAGAACTTCCTGCAGTTTGATACAATTCGCTACAATGTGATCTAAATCTTCTTTTGCATTGCAGCTTCTTGGGCAATTGTTTTCCCTGATTAACTTCCTGTGTTCAAGAAAGTCACAAGTTGGAATGGCATTGTTGAATATTATCCACCAAAGGGATTCCACTTTTGGGTTTAATTTAGCTTTTTTCAACCATGTCCAGAATTCTTCGGTTCTTCATGTTTAAACGATGATTCAAAGACCATTGAGGATATAGATTTTCCATTATAATTAAATAACAATTCCATACAATCTTTACTTGAACTGTTTGGGATGATGTTTTGTTGGATCAGATCAATCAATTCTATTCCCAGAAATTGTTTCATGTCATCAATATTCCAATTTCCGTTAACAAGGAAATTTGAAACAGAGAAGCTGCTGCAATTAATAGGAATAATGAAGGTTGGCCAATTAGCAATGCTCTTATCAAAGATACATACATCGTTTACCACATCAACGTCTATTCCATTGCCCAGCTTCCATCTTATGAAAGGCCTGATTGCTTTGCCACCCGATGTAATGATTTTCCATGCTGGTGATCCTAATTTTTTGCTGTCCAGATTCTCCAATAAGTTTCCGTATTTAGGATAAAATACTTTATGGATGAAGGATTCTTTATCAGTCAAGTATTTCTATGCAATTCTTGATCTTAAAGGAGAAACTTTAGTAGAGCAAGAATGAAGAGATCTACCTCCCCATTTGATAGGCAAGCACATCGTTTTCCAATTAACATAATGAATGCCTTTTCTCCCATTTGATTTGTTCCACAAAAAACTTCTGCTTATTTTGTCTACTTCATCAAGTATGCTTTTTGGAACAAGAGAATTTGTGCAATGGAAAGTTGTATATGAATGCAAGACTGATTTTGTTAATTAATTTCTCCCAAGCAAGGAAATAAGTCTTCCTCCCCAAGTGTTTGTCATTCTCAAAGCTTTATCAATAATGAAATTGAAGTCATCTTTGACAAGTCTTCTCATTTCAAGCTTTACTCCAAGGTAAGTAATCTGATTAGCTGGATTGAATCCCATTATTCGGCTGATTGATTTCCTCCTTTTTCTTCTAACATTTTTGCTGAACATAATGGAAGACTTATTTGCATTAATGGACAAGCCAGTCCAATTGGAAAAATTGGCCAAAATCGATTTGATAAGCTTAGTAGCTTTAAGAGAGGCTTCAGAGAAAATGATCACATCATCTGCATATAATAAGTGGGAGATAGGAGGTCCATTTGCACAAATACGAACTCCCAATACATCACTTCTTTGATTAAAAGCATTAGATAAAAGTTGAGCACAAAGAATGAAGAGATAGGGAGACAAAGGGCAACCTTGTCTAAAGCCGCAATTACCTTCAATCCAATTTGAGAAGCTACCGTTGATGGATAAGGTGAATTTAGAATTTATAATACATTCTAAAATCAGTTTAGAGAATAAAGTGGGAAAACCAAAATAGTTCAAAGCTTTTTCCAAGGTTTGCCAACCCATGGAATCATAAGCTTGTTCCATATCAACTTTAAAAGACACAAAGCCTTTTTGAGAATTTGAAATTCTAAATTTGTGCATGACCTCTTGGGCTATTAAGACATGATCAGATAAGGATCTACCTTTGATGAAAGCTGCTTGTTCTTCAGAGATTAATTTATGCATGATTGGTGGTCTTCTATTACTTCCCCCGTGCCATCTTTAATTTTTGCAATAAAGTTTGAATGTCTTCTAGCTGAAGCATAAGCCTGAAAGAAATTTGAATTTTGATCTCCCTCTGTCATCCATTTGACTTTTGCTCTTTGTCTCCACCAAGTATCTAATCGAGCAAGTGTAAAGTTGAGCTCCTCTACTTTAGATTTTAGTTTCCAGCATTCATCATCAGAGAGAAGGCCAACATTTGCTTCCTTCAATTATAGTTCTTCAATTTGAATGATCAATTCCTTCTTAAGTGAAATAAGATTTTTCAATTTTGCCTTGCTCCAAAAGCAAAGAGCTTTGAGAGAATTTTTCATTTTGCTGTTAAGTATTTTTGAAGCATTTCATTTATAATTTCTCCTCCAAACTTTTTCCACCACAGCCATAGAAGCTTTATTGGCAGCCCAAACATCCTCAAATCTCATGATCTTCTTGCTAGCTTGTTGAACAGAAAAATTCATTAAGATTGGGCAATGGTCTGAAGCTACCCGAGCTAGATGCCTTACAAAGAACCGTTTTTTTTTTGAAGAAATAGCTGCTGGATTGATAAAGCATCTATCAAGGCTCTCGAGGATTCGGTCCACCCCTTTTTTATTGTTGCACCAAATGAATTTAGGACCTACAAAATTAATTTCATGGAAGTTATTGTTAGCAAGGAAGATCTTCATTTCTTTGGTTCCAAGGGATAGATTAAATCTTCTTCCTCCCCTTTTGTCTTCACTAGATAAAATGCAATTGAAGACTCCACCTATAATCATTGGTAACTCCTTAGAGTTATAAAGTTCCAGCTTTTCCCAAAGCATTCTTCTAACATATGAATCCTTGTTTGCATACACAGAGGTTATTCTCCAAACTCCTACATTGAGCATCTCCAAATCTCCCACTATAACTTGAGAGGTAGATTCTAACACATGAAAAGAAGAAACATTTGATTTCCAAAGAATAAGAATGCCTCCTGAGAGTCCTTCTGAAGGCACATGGATGAAGTCCCATTCAGTTCCAATAAATTGATCCACATCTTTTCTATCAAAATCAAAAACTTTGGTTTCCAATAAACCAATAAAACAAACACCATATTCTTTAACAAACTCTTTTAAATATAGAGAAGCTTTTCTCTTCCTAGCTCCTCTACAATTCCAAAAAGCAAAGGAAGAGTTCATTTATTAAGAGAGGTATTAGACCCTGGTTTATCTCTGAGGTCAAACTCCACTCTCCTGTTCCTAGGAGTAGAATTAATAGGTCCTATACCTTTCAGCTATTTAGTGCCTTTCCTTTTGTTGGCAAAAAGGCCATCATTCTTGTCTTCAAAATTCCGATTATGCTCTTTATTTCTTATTGAATTAAGCTCAGCTACATATTCATTTCCTTTGTCTTGACATACACAGTTTTCCTCTTGCACGGGTGAGCAGATTTCTCCTTCTTCAATTACATCTTCAAGGATGCTGAATTTGTTAACAGAATTTATATTAGAAGGATTAACATTCATACCTTGTTCTTCTTGAATAGGTGGGAGAGCTTCCTTTGCCTTACTGATATTTTGATTGACTCCCTCTGCACAGTTAGTTGAAATCTTCTCATTGTTTACCTTTTCAGCTTCAATTGCCTTCCAAACAGCCTTATTGTTACCAGCAGCATCTTTGTTAAAAGCATTCACCTTGTCATCTTGAGAGGATGTCCTGAAGTTCTTTTTAAAAACTCTTTTCCTGCCATAGTTGACTTGTAGCCATGGTCCATATTCACTATTTTCTTTATGAATAGCAGCCATAGTTTCTGGATTGCTGATTTTTTATTTCTCAATAGGAACCACCTTCGTGCTCTCCTTTGTTGTAATCGAAGCATTGTTTTCAATATTTAAATTCTCCAAGCAAGTGTTTTTGTTATGCCCAATTTTCCCACAGCAATAGCAAAATTCTGGAAGCCTTTCATATTCAACTTTTTTGATAGAATTTGCCCATACTTCCTTCCACCCAAACTCCCATGGGTAGTTTAGTGTCCAAATTAAGACGAACACAAACTCTTCCAAATTCTCTTCTGCTCCATTGAAAAAGGTTGCCATCAATCAAGATCGGTTTACCAACCATGGAAGCTATTCTACAAATGTTGATCTCATCCTAACATAGAAGAGGGAGATTAGGTAGTCTAATCCAAATAAGAGCACTC